AATATGTATTTGTGTTGCCCAAATGACGTATTGTTCTTTGAAAAAAGAAGTACAGGAGATTGTCACCGATGGGCCCAATCTGTAGATCCATAAGCCAACATTATAGCGATTTTCTCTATGTTTTCGAATTTTGGAGTCATTATACCAAAGAAGAATACTAAGATGAAACAGTCGGAAGAAAAATTTTCTATTTTAGTGTCCTCTTTCACGGTCCCTTTCATCCAATGAATACCCACCGTATTCAAGGTAATTTTGTGGTTTTGCTGCCCCCTCGGTAGAGATTAAATTTTGCGCTCTTTTATATCAAAACAATCACACCAAAATCAGAGATGTCCCATGTTTTTTTTTTAAATTATTCGATTAACATCTAATAGACTATGTTTTGTTCGCTCTGCTGTCATTTTTCCACCAATGAGAGTGCGGCATATGCTTGAAACGATGGGTGATGATCCTCTGGAGAAGTTAATCCCATTTGGCATCCACTCTGATTTATGATGGTTTTATAACGGCAAACCATTTAGTATAAATACAGTATTTCAAAGTGTAAAACATTCCTACTTAGTAATTCAGCTTTTTGCTGTTTAAAAAACCTTTTATAGTCTGGCAAGAAAGTCAAAAACTGTTTTAAAAATAAATTTAAAACAGTTCTCAATCCATCCTCAAAACTGTTCTGTAATTCAAGCATTAATGTCATGAGCAATTGTTAATTAATGTCTTGATAAAATACTTTATACACGTGTTCTCTCATTATAAAAGCAACGATAAAACCATTAGGTTTTGCATTAGAGTTTAAAGCATTTCTTGTTGCTTTTTGCAATCTACGAAAAATCTTTTTTCATCTCTTGCATCCCATCTACTTGCATCACTCTCCACCTTTTTGCAGGAAATCTGCAAAATCATAATCAATCGTGTTTCTATCTATTAAGCGCGAGTGCATCTCACAACAGCAAAGCAAAACATTTCCTGCATCTTAGATAGAGTCGCCCCTTCGCTTTTTAGGCTTTTTAAAGTGCATCATAAACTCCCCAATTACTCTGTTTACAAATTGAGATTAAAAGATGGTTCCTCATATTTAATAAAAGCCAAATTTATGACAAGGAAATATCGAAGGATAGACGATGTAGGATGAAATATTCAAGTCGATTTCAGCAAAAATTACTTCTTTAGAAGAACCAGCACATCATCAACGGCTGACCATCTGGTGGAAAAGAGCAAAGTGAGAGGGCCCTCGAATTCATAAATCATTGTCCAAAGTTGAAAAACATACCTCCCTTCTTCAGATCTTGCGAATAGATGACAATCGAAATAACACCCAACAGCAAACCACAAACCACTTGCCTCCATAAATGCTGCCATAAATCTGAACGGGTAAGGATCAAGTAAAATGGCTGTAGATAAATACAATTCAGGCAGCAAGATTTCTTCATAAAAGCCATTTAAAACCTTATGAATTTGTTAAGGGGTTACACCTACCTGCAAACTTTCAAAAAATCGATTTTTTTTATTGTCCTAATCGAAAGTATAGAAAGTCAAGAATATTTCCTCAAAAGATCAAATTGTGAAAGTTATGCGACGTACAAAAATATTCACTTATAGTGGACTAAACCCAACTTGAAACTTTAAACGCGATTATCTCGGAATCATATTTTCAAAACCGGTGCCAAAAGTTTCTCGAAATGTATACATTCGATTCGTCCGATTCGTTTTGATTTCTGTTCAGTACTATTTTGTGCAGTCCACGATCGTTCGGATTTCGTCTATCATTCAATTTCGATTTTTTACAGCCGATCAAAGACAAATTAGGATCAAAAATCGGCACTTCAACTTTGCAATGCCGCCATTTTGTCAAAAAAAATAAAAAAAAACAAACGATCAAGGACTAGTTTAACACATGCTTAACGATTTGACATGGTTTTTTTTTTTTATTTCAGATGATAACATCACAAACCGCAGTTGGCACCGCAAAAAGCGTTTTTTAGAACATCTTCCACGGGGAGCAGCCGTGCGGGGTACCAGGACCTCGTTTTTACAGCATCGACTGATAAATGTACCATTTAATGTGTGTTCAATAAACGGTAGAAAACCGATTTGCAATATGTTGCGTCGTTTTCGAGAAAAAAATATCCAAACTTTCGCTTTTTTCGGTCTTGCAGGTAGGCGTAACCCCTTAAGGATTTCTTGAAAGCAAAACAACTTTTTCACAAATGACCCATGAAAATCAACTTTTATGCCACCACCATGTTACAGTTAGTTTGCTTGTTTTTTACAATCTTCGATTGTCGATGAACTATATTTTTGGCAAATTTAGCAATGAGCAAACATTTGAATGCGAAAATCATAAAAAAAATCTAGGCCTACCTCGATCGGAAGAATAATTTTTTTTTTAATGTAAAATAATTAGTCAAATCGATGTTTTAAGAGGGCGCACGTATTTTTTTTTCGATGTTTTCACTTACATTTCACATAAAATTTCATTAGGTACTTAAAATTAGGCCACTTAATGAAAACTATTGTAATAAATTTGAATATTAAACAAGATTTTTATACCATCAGTTTCTATTTTAATTATTTTGATAAGATCGGGTTCATAAATCCATTTCTATCTTGATTACCCAACTAAAATTTTAAGCTTTATAAGCCAACTTTTCCAGCGTTGTGCTGTAAACTGGCTGAAAAGAAGCTGCAGATACAGCTACAACCAAAAGCTAGCAAAATAGTTTTGAGGAGCGTTTACTCAACTTTTTCACAACCATTATTCAATTTGTCAGTCGCACTGAATAACAACAGCCAAAAAACGCTAATGTCTCTTTTATACACAAACTAATCAACTTTCAACTTGCTACTGCAAAACAAAGCTAATAAAGTGAATATATTACTCATTTGATGTCTTCTACATAACCAACCACTCTTGCTGAATAATATAAACATCAAAAGTGCTTTTTCAACAACTAAACATCTTGTACTCAGCTAATTAATTGTGTTAGAGCAACTTCGGAAGCATTTTCACAGTCAACTACACAGAAAAAAATTCTGAATTTTAACTATCGCGTAAAATCTCCCTTCGTTTAATTTTGAGCTATACTTGATGCAAACAGCGAAATCGTTTACAAGCTTGCATACAATATTGCTAATTTATGTGATATAGCGCTTAAATTTACATGAAATATCGTGTAAATTTATGCCAAATCTAGCGTTAATTTTACGGGCACTATATCTCGCAGAAATTTATATGAATTGTTCAAACGGTGTAGGTTTATTTTTAGACGTGTGCTGTTTTACATCTTTTACTCTGCTGAAGTAACTAGTCGAGAAAATTGAGTCATGTGCACTATTATAAAGCCTCTACTTAGCGATTTTATTGTAGAAGGGAATGTTGATTTGTTTACATAAGTTCAAAGTGTTGGCGTAGCACAGTTGGTAGTGTCAAGGTTTGCCAATGAGGTCGTCTCGAGTTCGATTCCCAGGTTCCGGTGCAGGGTAAACAATTTGTAACTAATTTCGAATAATTTGATTCATAGCAAAATAAACTCAATAAATTCCTTTATAAAAAAGCGTAAACAGTATTTAACCCTGCTTCAAGAGAAAGCTGTGTAGTGATTATTGGATAACCGGGAAAAGGTTGAATAAGCTCCTTTCAAGTTTGACATGTATAGAAGCGTTAATGGATATGCAATAAGAGCTTGTCCCAACCGTCCCAACAGCCATAAGTAGCTGACTAAGTTCGCCAGATTTGCTTGTATAGAGGTTGAGTAAAGGTTGCCTCATATCATATAACGTTTGAATACAGCTTGAGAATGAAATGAGTAAAGCGTTTACATTGTGAAAATTGTTAGTTGGGTAATGCTTTCCTAGTGGATTTAGCAAGTGGCTAGGGAAAATGGCTTTAAAAGGGTTTTATTGTTGCTAAATAGCTTTTGTTGTAGCTTTCAAATGGTTCTCAATGCGTTGTTCATACAACCTTTTGCAGTAAATCAATCTTGAAGAGCTTAGAGAATACACCCTTCAGAACCTTCTCCAGGGTGGGCCAACTAGACATATTCTAGCCTTAATGAGGTTTTGGTGGATGAATTAATGACAAAATAGCCTTGACCAGAGTTTTATGAATGTTGTTTTATAGTTGCTTTGCAGTATTTCATAAAAATTAAAATTTTACTTGGGATGCTTATTTCAGCATGATATAACCGATTACAAATATTTCACTTTTCGGTTCGTTAATCGATTAATCTATTATTCGAATGAAAATCAGCCATCACTAGATGAATGTGAAACGTCATTTCAAATTTAAGGCCATACATAAATAATGATAACATTTGAAAGGGACCGGGACTAATCACAAATTACGTCCCCATGGTAACTGAAATAAATACGAGTGCGGACCGGTTGGTTATACATTTAGGGTTCTGGATTTTTCTCGATAATGTCCTAAGGCCTACGAAAAAATAAGCACAAGGACATGATTTGAATTATTTAAAAAAAAATTGTAGAGGAATAAGATGTAATGTTGGCCTAAATGCCTCTTATTTGGGTCCATACATAAATTCAGCAATCGACTAGATTTTCAATAGCAACCAAAAATATCCATTAGTACCGTCCCAATGACACGTTCATCTAGATACAATTGACAAATAGCAAATTTTTAGCGATGTGCCCAATCTTAGACCCATAGGCCAACATTAGAGCCATTTCCCCTATACCTGGAATTGAATCAAATCTATATGGCTCTTGATGACTCAAAAACAATGAAATAACCCCAGGTATTATATTAACTATAGAAAGCAAACTTTATTTTTATCTGCAAATCCGTGCAAAATTTATTGTGAAAACATGTTTACAGTCCACCTCGAGAAACGTTATGCATAAACACCTTCATCGGTAACGCTTTCTAGCCTATTGAATTTTGAATAGCTGTTTTATGACCCTCACAATAAGAGCAATAAAAAGCTTTATGCGACTCCGTTGGATAAGTATCGCATCACGGTGCTGAACGATTTCCTTTGCATTCGGCTCTCACGGCGTTGAGCTGATCTTTTCACCATCGCCACATAAGCCCGGATATTTACGGCTACACTTGCGTTGGCAACGAGAGCATGGTTTTCCTTTCACATAAACCGGCTGGTGCACAATGTTGGCGAAGGAATAGTTGCACACCAGGTAGTAATGGGTTGCCTCCCGATCAGTGAACCGAGTCATTCCGCAGCCAACAGCCCACGTTCTATCGCTAACCATTTGCGTAAAATGGCCCACGTCCGGTCTGAAAGCAGATGGCAATGAGTTACTTTCTAGAACACAACTTAAACCAAAAGAAAACCCACCCACTGTGGTCTTCCGGGTATGCATCAATCATCGACTGATTGGCATGCTGGTGCTCATCGAACCAAACTTGAACAAACTCCCGAAGCAGCTTTCGCAGCCTAACGCGAATCCGTCGGCCCTGCAGTGATCTCATCGCCAGATTTTGGCCGGAAAAACGGAAAACCCTTGTATTTCGACACGCATCGTGCTCAAATTGACACCGCCTGGCATTGCTCGTAGCAACGGATTGCAGTTCGTCGTTCCACGCCAGGCTGGACATTCGACTGGCTGAGGAAAACCCATCTAATTTTCCACTGGCAACCGATGAACGGAGAAGATTATGTTCGTTAATGATAGTGCTTTTCATCGAAGGCCTCATCTGGATTAGTTTGGGTCGTTTGCCGGAACATCCCGAACCAAAGAGGGAGGATGATTGGCAGCTTATGTGTTTCACTCCAGGTGGACAGAGATTTTTCATTTGACAGTAGTTCGTGCCGGAAGCGCCATCGCCGGGTTTTACGGCGAGGAAAGTCAAAAGAAATACTGGAAAAGTGATAAGATTATAAGCTTTGAAAATTAAATGGCACGTTTGAAGCTTACGAACATATAACAGTGATGTTAGGAAGGATTGTTTGCGCATATTTATTACAAATTCGGAAATCAATGTGTGGCATGACATTTATGTTCGTTTGATTATTTTCAGTGTCATGGTATGCTATGATAGAAACAAGTTATTCGCCCCTATTCTATATTCCGTTCGAAACAGATTTCCCGCAGAGGAAATGTCGGCTTCGGCAATACCTTAACTTACAATCGTCAGGGGGTAAACAAAGTTCTAGAGCCAGGGCTCTACACTTTCGAAGCTCTAAAATGAACTCTCATACATACGTGTTCGACGCTTCATTTTTATAACGCCTAGCTACACAGAAAAACAAAACTACCCACCGCTTGGGTTTTTTAAACTCAAATTTGAGTTATTTGACCTCTGTCCGTTTCATTTCCTCTCGCTATTGTTGTCAAAAATAGAACGAAAAATTCGACTCAACCGTCTAGTTCCGTACAAGAAGCCAAAATTGAGTAATATGCGATATACCCAAATTTGAGTTAATTGAACTTAATTTTGGGTAGAAAAAATTGAAAATTACTTAGCGATGGGTAATTTTTTTGCCGTGCTTAAATGCAAACTACTTTGAGCCGGTTTACCCAAATTTGGCTTACTGTACGGAACATGGGAGATGAGTGAAAAGAACTTAATTTTGGGTTGTTTTGAATTTCTGTGTAGACTATCAGCAAGAAACGAAAATAAAAAAGCAGAACGCTTAGAAGGAAAGGCTGGCTGTGGAACTTCTCGTCGTTGCTTTGCTCATCGCTTTCAATGTAACTAACGTCGATTTTCTAGTTAAACGAAACCTCATTATTGCTTTCAATCCCCTTTCACGAACACTCTATCACCGCTCTTTCAATTTGTTTAAAATGCGTTATGTCCCGTTTTCGATCATTTTTTTTAGATAAATATATGGATGAAAGATAAATTAAAAATATTACGTGTAATCTTCACGTGTTTTCACGTGAGAAATGCTTTAAATGTGTTATTTCATTTTCCGTCATATTCGTCATGAAACTATCAAAGTCGAGCGCTCTTTCGCTCATCCGTTTCACCGAAGCTTGAAAGGAAGACCAATGGAGCGACGGGAGAAAGAGAGACAAGCGATTGAACATTTGTTTGTACACGACTGAGGTTCTAGAATGCTGCGAAGCTGTTCGACTTTAACAGAAAAAGAAAGCCAGCAGACTCTTCGTCGCATAGATTTGGTCGATTGAAGCTGATATTGTGACGCCCGCCTAGAGCACCCAGATTTGGCCAATAGATGCTCTGAAACACAATGTATCCACATGCCAAAATTGAGCTCTCAAGGATGTTGTTTTCCCCCTGACGATAATAGAATAACGTATTGCCGAAGCCGTCATTTACCCTATATACAATGATTGTTTGAATATACGGGTGATTGTTTGAATTTCGGGAGAAATTTTTTCAAATGCAATGACCGATAAATCAATGTGACGTCCATTATGGCAAATCAAGTTAGACTCTTTTTCAATATTTCCCACGCATTGCTCGTTCGCTGATCTAGATTTAGTGTAGGCACAACATACAGGAACGAGTAAAAACTGGCATCAGCAGGGTTCAATAAAATCAATCGATAGAATACACAACTTGAAAGGACGTATCTGCGGCCAAGTAAAATAGGTGATAATAAATCCCTTTCAATCGATACCCATCAAGAAGCCCACGTTGTGGTCTGCGGTCATTGTTGATGTAGCATTAACTGCTCAAATATTTACCGAACCCATCTCTGCCTTCACGGACAGGGAGAAAATGAAGAACTTATTTTTGCTATGTGTAGGCAGTTCTGTTGTTTAATATTTTTTGTCCGACCTTTCCACCCTCGGCTGGATGAGAACCTCAGTTAGAAAACCAGAAACCAATGAAAAGAACGAGCTGGCGAAAATATGACAACGACCATCGTAGGTCAGATTAAACTTCGGAACGGACCTATCAATCTATTCAGACGACCGACCAACCACCACTTACTGCGTGGGTGGATGTTCCTAGTAGAGCTTGTAATAGTAATCGAAGCTTTCGATCTAATGGTTTGATGGAGCTAGGAGCAGACGAAAAGAGGGTTTCACAATCAACCGATGCGTTGTAATGGCCAGCAACATGGGTTCAAGGATCAATTCCGAGGAAAATGTTATTGCTGCTTTAAAACGTTTCGATTACGATTAACGTTCTCGTATTTTGCTTCAATAATGACTTTATTTGCAGCAAATTTTTCGTAATAGGAGCTCTTGACAGCTCCATGAAAAATCGTTTGTGGGTGACCAATGAATGACCACTAGACTGAGGCAAAATTTGAAATTTTCGTTCCACAGTGCTCAAACAGTTTTGCGGCGCCGCGCCGATGGTGTAGTGGTAAGCGTGATTGCCTCTCTTCTTAAAGGTTTGGTCCCCGGTTCATGAGTTGATGGGTCGATGGATAGATTTCAGGGGTAGGCGCTGCCTTCCTGGCGTCGGTAGCATTGGTAAATAAGTACGGAAAACAAATCAAGGAAAAAGAAAAAAAAGTGCTCAAACAGTTTCAAGACGGGTGCTTATTAGCCTACCAAAAAATGAACTCATTGGGTAAGAAACTGAGTTGGCACAAGTTTATGTGGAAAAACCAAACCTTATGTGCATTTTTTTTTCTAGCTTTATTCCATATTACACTGTAAAACAGTTCTATGCCGTGGATGAGAAAACGGCGCCGGTGGTGTAGTGGTAAAAGTGATTACCTCTCACCCCAGCAGGCCTGGGTTCAATCCCAGTCGGCGCCGCCGGGATGTTCTGAGGCATAACATCTCTGATCACGCCTTCCTTCAGATGGGAAGTAAAGCCGTTGGTCTCCGGTTCATGAGTTGATGGGTCGATAGGTAGGGTCCAGGTGTGGGAGCTGCCTTCCTGGCACATCGGTAGCATTGGTGCTCAGCACGGAAAACAAGATCGACGGAAAAAACAAACCAAAGGATTTTTCCTTTTTTTTGGATTGGAACTGTAAAACAGTTCTATGGGAAAATTTCCGACAACCACTGCTGAGCAATTCCACGCCAAATAACGTATCGGAAAACTCGACCTGTGTGTTTTGGACAATCATTCACGCTTTATCAAAAATTTGGTCTTTCTGGATGTTTTAACTTTTAAAAAAATGGAGTCTTTGAAATATTGTAGCACGAAAACGTTACTTTGAAATAACGTCTGAAACAAAGTTGTAGAGAAAAATAAAGCCTTTAATTCAAAATATAGGGGAAATGGCTCTAATGTTGGCCTATGGATCTAAGATTGGGACCATCGCTAAAAATCTGCTATTTATCAATTATATCTAGATGAACGCATCATTGGGACAGTACTAATGGATATTTTTGGTAGCTATTCAAAATTTAGTCTATTGTAGAATTTATGTATGGGCCCAAATTAGGGTCATTTAGGCCGACGTTACATCCATTTTCCCTACATGGTATTTTTGTATTTTTGTTGGTATTTATGCTGAGTAAAAATAAAAAAAATTAGAGTTGGTTGGAAATACTATCTAACATGAAGCTTTAGCGTGATAATTTATTAGCTGGAGAATGGTCTTAGAAGAGGGTAGCTAGATAGTTCCATTATAGTACGGCGGTATGAACATTGTTGAAGTTGAAAAGGAATGATGGGCCATTAATGCGACAGTGCAAGTCAAACGCACACTCTTTGCCGCGTACGATGTACGCGGAGATTTGAAGTATGTCTTCAAATCAAAAAGCAAAAAGTGTGCGCCTGACTTAGCTCAAATACGCTAAGTCTACGCCCCGTAATGTAGGTAGATCACTTTTTCGTGGTACGTTACGAGATGTAAGATCTACCACCGATTCCTAGTCCTGACTACTTCAAACTAGGGGAACAGGATTTTTCAGTAATCCAAGGAACACATCTTAGTCCTTGTTACTTTTTATGCCTTGTTGATAGTGACAAGACTCGGCTTTGTCTACCGAGTATGATCTTGAAAGAAGGAAAAAAATGAGTTAGTTGTCTTCATCTATGTGATTCCTAATCTTCTATTCGTTGTTCCCTAGTTTGAAGTGATTAAGACTAGGGTTCTGATGCATGGTCATTATCGGTGTCATACCTTAATTTTGTTGCGAAGGAAACCAATTTTCAATGGACAAAGGGGCGCGCCTTTGGAGGGTGTTTCAACACTCCGAAGGGTATAAATAGCGTGACCTTTCAATTAGAGTCGGATCCTTGCGATAAATGCAAGTGTGGCAACTGTAAAAAAATCGAATACTTCATCATTTCTCAATAGTGATGGAGTAATACGACATGCACTAAACTAAGGACACGGGATATACTACAATAGATCAATTTACTGGTCGCAGTAGTGTTAGGTCCCGAGCAGAGGAAAAAAAAAGCTCAAATACTGCCTGCGGCTGTGGAATAGTTCTAGCGACGTTTCATCACTACCTAAAGCCCCACGTTGCCGAAAGCATTTCCAGTTGAAGATGTGTTATAAAAAGTATATAGGGAAACGAATGTGTAATGCCTCTAATTTGGGCCCATACATTAATTCAACAATCGACAAAATTTTCAATAGCTACCAAAAATATCCATTAGTACCGTCCTAATGACGCGTTCATCTAGATATAATTGATAATTAGCAGATTTTTAGCGATGGGCCCAATCTTAGATCCATAGGTCAACATTACAGCCATTTCCCCTACATAAAAGCTCATAAAAATGCAAACTTTTGGAATACTTAAAACTATGGGCATGGATACATTAACAAAAGTAAAATTCAAAAAAAAAAATCAGGGTTGCCTATATTTCCGGATGCAATAGCGGCGCCGGTGGTGTAGTGGTAAGCGTGATTACCTCTCA